AAAGCCCACATCTTGAAATGTCCTTGCTTTTTCAATCATTAGTATTTATTGAGCACTAACCAGGGAGCACAGAAATATACATTTACTTACCACATTTACCATTCAAGTTTTAATCTTAAGAATGGAAAGGTAATGCATCACAAGCCACCCATCTTTGTCCCATACAGCACAGAGCTGGGGTGACTCATCTTTGCAGGGCAGTACTGGTTAAGAGACCGTGCCTCTGTGCTTGCCACCAGCTTCTCCTCACACCATCTCCTCCTTTCTTCAAAAACCTTTTTATTTGGAAGATATACTGCTAGCTGTGCATTTATTGGGAAGTCAGTGGACTTGTATTTTTCCTCCACTGTATGGTAAGCTGCTTAATCATATGCATGTACATACTTTCGGTAAGCATTTATCAAATGCAACTATGTGTCAGGTCTCTGCCCAGTTGTGAGGAAAAGAAAAGTGTCCCTTCCCACCCTCAAGGACAGAGTAGGAACAACCTCCAGATAAAAACATAAGACAATAACCATGATCACAATGATTCTCGTTAACACAGCCATGTGGGCAAAGCTGTGATTCATCATGTTTGTGGGAAGGGAAAGTTTGAGCTAATTTTGCAAGGAAAATAACATTGATTAAGTAGGAAAAGTAGGGAAGCATGATCGAGGCCCTTGGAACGGAAATGCAAAATGTGCCCTGTAGGTGGAAATGGGGGTTTTCTGTGTATGGGCAGAGTATGGGGTACCATGTTGGGGAGAGAAGAGAGGTGGAAGGTAGATGAGACCGGATGGTGGAGAGTGTTTGATGTTACCGTGTCATGTGGACTTTATCCTGTAAACCAGAGGGGAGGAGGGCATCAGTGGTTTTTCAACAGTGGTATGCCTCTGACAAGATGTGCATTTCGGAAGTGTGAGCTGTGGCAGCATGGAGGCCAGGTGGGAGGGCAGAAAGGGAAGGCTGCTGCAGCCGTCCAAGAAGGCAGGGCTGAGCCTCCGGACGGAGAGAGTGGCGGTGGACAGACAGGAGACGTGCACCAGAGGAGTGACAAGACCGGCATCCCAGGCTAGGTAGCCAGTGAGAAATGGGAGGAGCCCTCAAGGATGGTGGTGGCTGGTGAGAAGGTGGCTCAGCATAGCAGTAGAAGCACAATTGGTCCTTCAGGGCAGTTGAGGCACTGTGGGACATTCAGTGAGAACGTCAAGCAGGCCATCGGAGACTGGGTTGGATATTCGGGCTGGAGATTAGGATTGCTAGATTTAGCAAATACACGCTCAGTTCAACCTGAATGTCAGATAAACAGCAAACCCCCTTTTAATGTAAGTATGCACCCTGCGATGTCTGGGACAATGAATGATTCTGGAGTATAAGTACGTCCCAGATATTGCATGGGAAGTACTAATACATGTTCAGTTGTTTATCTGACATTTGAATTGAACTGGGTGTCTTGTATCTTATCTGACCACCCTACTTGAAAGGTGCCAAGGTTAAGTGCTCTGGATCCCCATGCCACCTTGCCCCACCCTGCCCGGTCATAGCATGGCCTGTGCCCAGGATTTTTATTACTAAACCTAGGACCTTCCTCGGCAAACTGGGATGAGTTGTTCGCCCTAGGCTGAGCAGAGTTTGGTTGAACTGAACTTAGAGAATATTTTGACCTCTCTGCAACCTCCCAAGCTGGTGCTGTGTGCACCTTGGTGATTTGAGGGCAAGACCATGCCAGATCAGAAGTCCACACCCCAGAGACCGCTGTCTGCACAACACCATCCGTCGCCTTAACTGTGCCGAAGAATTCCAACCTTTGTAGGAATTTTCCTTTGGTTTGTATTTTTTCTCTTGAAGAAAATTTGCTGCTGATTTAGTCCTGTTTTAAAATTCTGCCTGGTTGAGATGCTGTCCTGTTTTAATCTCTGTGTGACTCTTCTTCAGTCATTTCCTTTCTCTCGGTTCAGTATAATCTACCTCCCGCAGTTTGCTTATCAGAATGACATACCCCACAGGCCTGGACTTTGTTCTGCATCTCTTTATATTTAATCCCAGTGCTGTTTCTCCCTGCCAAGCAGATGTGTATTAAAATGTGCATAAGAAAAAATGCAAGCTGGGTTTATTTAGAAATTTCCTCAATTTGCACAAACTCCATTGGTAAAAGAGATTTTTTCCTTCTATAAAAACCCACAACAAACATATGTTAATAGCTACTTAGATGGATCAAGACTAATTCATATGTAGCCATTTCTACAATTACCATTCTGGCTCCTTTGCCAGTGACACAAAAACAATGATTCATATTGTTTCAATGTCAATGTCAATGTCAAGTATTCATAGACAAGGAAACATCTGTGTCACGTTGGAGCATCTTTCTTGTTTTTAGGATCTCTTTGCTCAGGAGGTATGAGTGAGTTGAATAGCCTGTTAAAAAACTTTTATATGTATATATATATATTTTTTTCTTTTCTTTTTTTTTTTGAGACAGGGTCTCCCTCTGTTGCTCAGGCTAGCGGGCAGTGGCGTCATCATACCTCACTGCAGCCTCAAACTCCTGGGCTAAAGTGAGATTCTCCTGCCTCAGCCTCCTGAGTAGCTGGAACTACAGGTGCACGACACCATGACTAGATAATTTTTTATAGAGATGGGGTCTTGCCACGTTGCTCAGGCTGGTCTCAAACTCCTGGCCTGAAGTGATCTTCCCACCTCGACCTTCCAAACAGCTGGGATTACAGGCCTGAGTCGCCGTGCTTGGCTCTGTTAAAGGAGTATTGTTCAACTTGAAAGAGTTTGAGTTTTTTTGGTCAGGTATTATATCATTCACAAGGTGTTAGAAAGGACGTCAATTTCCACTCAGGTCTTCGGGTCTCATGTGTGTGTTTTAAAAATTGCTTCTTTTCAGTATGATAAAGGCATCTAAGAAACAAGTTTTCACTCCCTAAACTGAAGATATGGCTACTGGACTTAAAGTTACAAACAGAAAGGGAGAGTGAATATCTATCTATCTATCTATATATATATGAAGATATTCTCATCCTTGTTTTCTGGACTGCCTGTTTTAGATCTATTAATAGGTGCACATACTTTTTGTTACCTTTTCTGACATAGACATCAATCTCAGGGCCATTTGATCTGGAAGTTTTAAAAAATAAGACTATTACAGCAAGAGTCGGGTGGGAAGGGGATCCCTTATGTCATGCAGTCCAGTCCAAGAAGAAGGGAAGGAACTGCTCAGACCACAGTCAAATTCAAAGCCAAGAAGGCACAGGGTCAGCAGGAGTAGAATGACAGTAGGTGGCATAGAAAAGCCACCTGTGATCCACAATCAAGCAGTGCTTGCTCTGGATCTTGCTTGCAACCTTTGGCTGAGTCAGGCAGCCACAAAGAACTGGAGGTCTGCAGGCAAATCCTTCCCCAGTCCCAGCCAGTAGCGGAAGTGCTGGATCCAATAGCAGAGTCTGAAGCTATCGCAATGATTCTGAAATGAGAAATATTACCCGCCACTTCTAGACTTTACTATTTCAGCCCTGAAACAAATTAGGCATCTAAGTCCTCTAGAGCAGATATAACTTACAGGGATTGGGTTGGGCAACACCTGTCTAAAGAGTAGAAACTTGAGTTTCATCCCATAGAAAACCACTTCCTCATCCACAATTGAGGAAATCAGCCTTTACTTGCAACAAATAATTATAAATTTCTAAATGCTTTGATGTCACTGAGTTGATGTCCCCAAGCCATCTGATATTTTTCTAACTAGCTTCTTAGCTATATATGTATATGCATAGAATTGTCATTATTTATTACACTTAGACTTTTGGACAGTGAAGTATATGTCTGGAAAGTGGCATGAGTTCATTCATGAGATTTAAAGCCACGGAACAAAGCCTTTGCTTAACTTTTTATTCATCATGGCACAAGATAGAACTTTAAGAAACACCACTGGAAACTTCATCACCAACATGAAAATTAAGAGTAGAATGTTTTATAAAAAAAAGTTATTTTTCTATAATACACTTTCCCTTCTTAAGTGAAAAAAACTCATAAAATACTGAAGCAAATCGCCACCTGCTGGTCAAAAATGGTTTTGCAGTTGAAAAACTTCAAAGTTACTGAAGTACAGTAGGAACATTTTACAATACTCACAATATTACCGAAGAAAACATTTCCTCAGCCTTTGGCACAATGTAAGTACAAAGCTGTAGTTTTTATCCCAAATGTGATTGAATTTATAAAGAATTGCATGTGATTTGGTTAATACTGGTTATGGGGCAAAGGGAAAAACCATGTTCTTCTATAGATTCTTAAACACTTTATAGTTTGGATTCCAGTTTATAGTTTTGCAAAATACATTAACATTATACATTATAAATATATATTATATATGGTCTATGTAAAGTTGAATTTGACCTAAAATGAGACGGACTTCTTAATTAGTCTTTTTGTTAGGCACGGCCTTTTTCTTGTTTAACTGAATCCTTTTAAACAGGTTCTAAAAATATATCTCATAATGTATCAAATTTAATATCTGCCTTAGCCCTTATTCCACTTGGAAAAGCATTCAGTGACTATATACTTTTTGTATCTCGTTACTTATATAAAAATATGGCTTCTCATATTCTGTTATTTTCTTTTGTTAGTGTTTTCCTTAGGCATTGAAGGAAGGGCTGTCCCCAGTTAAAAACTATGGCGAAAGCACAGAAACCTGCTTGTGCATTCTAGAACATTCTATAGAATCTCATTGCTTAGTATTTCTCATTGCTTAATACAAGTGAAGTGATTTAAAAAAATTGTTCCTTTTGTTTTCTCTCTGTGAATATATCATATATGATTATCATACATAATCTGTTACAGAATATACAATAGTCAAAACTGAAGACACATAAATACAACAAGTGAGCTATCCCAAAGCAAGGGTTTTATCTTATATAGAGCCAAAAGGATGGTTTTTAGATTGGACATTGCCATCCGTTTTTGGTTGTGTTTTTGGATTTTCCCAAGGCTGGCTACGCAATAGAATCTGATTCCCAGTGGCGAGGGTGTGAGCGCTCTGCGTCTGCTAGCGAGCTGAGTTGCTCTGGTGTTGCTTCTGGAAAGTGTGAAAAGAGGACGAAGAGGCGGCGCCGGGGGCGGGCGGGGCGGCTCAGACCAACGTCTCGGGCAGGGCGTCGGGGTTGTCCGCGGACAGCAGCTCCCAGATCTGCCAGCGCTCTCTCTGCCAGTCCAGCCAGCCGGCCTCCCCCAGCTTCCGCCCGTCCTGCTCGCCGGCGGCCGGGCGGTGGGCGCTGCTCAGTTTTCTCCGCGGTCCCCGCTCGGCCATCTGGCTCCCCGGGTCCACAGCCCGACCCGCGCCTGCTCGGGGCTGCTGGGGCGACGCGGTGGCGGGCTTGCCCGGGCCCGGGTAGGGAGGAGGGGGCCTCTTGTCGCCCTTCCCGCTGCCTCGGGGTCTCTGGCACGGAGCAGGGGCCCGGCTTTGCAGCCAGGCAGCGTCCGGCTCGCTCTCGGGGAGGTCTTGGGCACTGCTCAGGGTCAAGTGCGGCTCGGCGACCCGCAGGGGGGGCGTGCTGCAGACGCGCGACGCGGGGGCCGCCGGGGCCGCGGCCTGAGTCCTTCCTGCGACCTGTGTGCCGCTGTCCAGCTCTGCGGGGCTCGCCTGCCACCGAGGCCAATTTGGGGACAGGTTCCCTTGAGAAAGGGAGCAGGGCCCCGGTCGTAGGGAGCTGCTTTCAAAAATGTCTCCATAGGAACCTGGAAGCCAGAGAGGAAGGTGTGAACTGGAATGAGTTTGCGGAGCCCCTGCTGGGGACTAGACTCCTGCTCTTTCCTCCCCACTGCCCTTTTCTAAAACTGAAAAAGCACAGCGTGCTCTTAGCTGACACTGCCTAAACAAAAGAACTTCCTAGCAAAAGAAATGACAAATGCTTTTTGATAATTGGCTCAATTCGTGTGGCGGCTCCAAACACATATGCCTAGACTCTGGCAGGTTAGCTGAGCTGTCAAACGAGATGAAATCGCCTTGTCGCCAATATATGTTTCTGGAAAGGTCCCCTTTACATGGCTGTGAAAACTTTTCGGGACTCAGAAGGGGAAAGAAGTGTCCCCTTCTTGTTCAATGCAGTTGGTGATCCAGGGGAGACACAAATTATAATGTGTTCATGTTTCTATCCTATCGGTGGAAGCTGTAGAAATAAACGCGTTGGATCTAAAATACTCCGTTCCATGCCAGGTGTTCATGAATGCAGCAGCTGCTGTGTATATTCTCCCCTCACCACTGTGGGGAACACTGGCTTGTTGTTCACCCAATCGTTCCTTTTCACTTCCTAGATGGCATTTCTCAGCCTCCCTTTAAGTTAGGAGGGCCACAGAAACAAGGCGTGGCCAACAAATGAGGACAGATGTGGTGTGAGCCATTTCTAGGCCTGGTGTAGTAAAAGATCCAACCAAACGTCTTCCTACTGCTCCTTGCTCTCCTCAGCCCAGCATGGAGAAACCACAGAAGACTCCGAGGCCTCTGAAGACAGTGGAACCACTGGCCAGGTGGACCGGGGCCCCTGTGTGACTATGTGGAACAAAGCACTCCCTCTCCTCAGCCGCCCCCGCCCCTCCGCACCTCACACAACTCCCCCTGGCCTAGGGCATGAGGGAGAAATGCACCCGTAATAGGCTGAACCACTGGAAAATAACTGGAAAATGGAAGTTAGAAAATCACATAAAGTTGCACAAACAGAATGATCATAATATTTGAAAAGTTTTCCAAAGGAAATGGAGTGGAATACAGTCAAAAGTTGGCATATTTGGTGGAAAGCCTAATGAGAGTTTTATCCTTTTCCTCCCTATTTTCAGCATTTCCCAAATTCTATCTTTTTTTTTTTGAGACAGAGTCTCACTCTGTTGCCCCAGCTAGAGTGCCATGGCATCAGCCTAGCTCACAGCAACCTCAAACTCCTGGGCTCAAGCGATCCTCCTGCCTCAGCCTCCCGAGTAGCTGGGACCACAGGCATGCGTCACCATGCCCGGCTATTTTTTTTCTATATATTTTTAGTTGTCCGATTAATTTCTTTCTGTTTTTAGTAGAGACGGGGGTCTCGCTCTTGCTCAGGCTGGTTTCGAACTCCTGAGCTCAAACAATCCGCCCGCCTCGGCCTCCCAGAGAGCTAGGATTACAGGCGTGAGCCACCACGCCCGGCCTTCAAATTCTATTTGATAAGCATGTAATATAATGACAATAAAGCAAAAATTAAAGAAAATTAATTTTAAAAGTAAATGTAGGCTGGGTGTGGTGGCTCATGCCTGTAATCCTAGCACTCTGAGAGGCCGAGGCAGGAGGACTGCTTGAGGCCAGGAGTCCAAGACAAGCCTGAGCAAGAGCGAGACTCTATCTCTACTAAAAATAGAAAAATTAGCCAGGTGTGCAGTGCCTGCAGTCCCAGCTACTCAGGAGGCTGAGGCAGGAAGATCGCTTGAGCCCAAGAGTTTGAGGTTACTGTGAGCTATGATGATGCCACTGCACTCTAGCATGGGCAACAGAGCGAGACTCTGTCTCTAAATAAATAAATAAATAAATAAATAAATAAATAAATAAATGTAATAAATTTTAGAGATAATACTTTACCTGTCATTCCTGGGTCTTTGGATCCACTTTTTAATGTTGAGTGCCAAGTTCCCCAGATATTGAAAGGTTCCTCAGACATATCTAGAAAAAAAATTGTATAGAAAGGTATATAGCATAAAATGAGGATTTAAGGACAGAAATCAATAAACGAATATTTTTATAACATCTCTTCTGTGCAAAGATCTGAATTTGAGATAGTCTTGGATACAAACAGAATACAATTTAGACCTGCTTTCAGGAGGCTCATTCCATTTTGGATTTACAAAAAGGCTCTTTCTACATCATGGTTGTGGTAGACAGAATAAGGCCCACCCCCCAATAATCTGTGTCATAACCCCAGACCCTGTAAAGCTGTTATCTTATATTCAAAAGGGGCTTTGCAGATGTGCTTAAATTATGGTTCTTGAGATGGGGAGATTTTCCTCGATTATCCGGGTGGCCACATATAATCACAAGGGTCCTTATAAGAATGAGGCAGGGGAGAAGCTTGCTATGTTGCTTTGTAGGTGGAGGAAGGGGCCACGAGCCAAGGGATGCAGCAGCCTCTAGAAGCTGGAAAAGGCGAGGAATCTATGCCCTAGGACCTCCAGAAGGGAAGTCAGCCCTGTGGATCCATTTGAGACTTCTGATCTCCTGAACAGTAAGATAACAAATTTGTGTGTTGTTTTAAGCCCCTAAATTTGTGGCAAAAGCAGCAATGGGAAACTAATACAAGGGCGATGGGTGGCAATGGCCTTACAGGCACTGAGCACATTAACATAGAGGAACAGTAGTTACAGTTCTGCACCACCCTCAGGGATACTCTGCTACTGCCATCAGTGGGTTTCTTCATGCACGCATTTGCTCATCAATCCCCTCAGTTTGTCCATAAGTATTTATGGGGGAAGGCACTGTATTATATTAGGCTTTTCCCCCATCTCATTTAATCCTCACTACGATCCTGTTATGGGATCATGATTACAATTCACAGAAGCAAACGTCTACTGGGTGCCTCCGCGTGTTCAGCAATTCACAAGCATTATCTCATCCCATCCCTAGGAGATTCCCAGGAGATCATTTTGCAGATGAGGTAACTAGTTTAAGGAGCAGGTAAGAAATGCACACACAATTACATAGCAAGTCTCATCGAGTGCTTATTACAAGCTAAGTGCTACATTAAGGGCTTTATGTGGATTAGTTAATGAAATCCACTGAATTTAAGACTGTTATTCTGAGTTTTCATAGCAGGGAGAAATGTGACTCCGAAAAGCTCAATCACTCGCTCAAGAGTCTGGTTGAAAATGGAAGGTTTCTGACTCCAAGCCTAGAGCTCTTGTCACTGGACACTAACACTAATGGTTCTGGCACGCTGTCTTGTTACAGAGTAGGTTCAGCTTTTCTTTGGAAAAGTAACAGCAGTAATTGGATGACATCTTATACTAGCAAATATGCAACCCAAACCCACCAGCCAGGACACATAAATTTCCTTGGATGCTGGAGGGAAAAAAAGTCAGCTGGGAATACAAGTGGCTCCCCTGGGCAGGTGCTTGCTTCCCAGATGTTTGAGGCTAGGGCTGCAGGGACGGAACCCTCTCCCAGCCAACAACTGGACTTGCCACACCTTCCTCCTCCTGGAGCAGGAGTGAGGCGTGTACCCACTAAGTGCTCATTCAATGACAGGAACATCAAACAAGGGAGAATTGAAGAGAAGGTCTGAGACGCCCCCACACCATGCCACATGTAACAAGAGAAGGGTCATTTGTTTTGGCCAACGTCGGCCGGCCGGGTTCCAGTTACCTTTCCCAAGCCTTGGTCCAGGAGAACTTTCTCTTGACTTTGAAGATGGCAAGTGGCCCACCAGCATATACTGCCCCGGCACTTTGTAAAACTTCTCTGAGCCCCCCGGCGCCGCGTCCTCTTGCATAGCCAGCAGGGAGCGCTCGGATAGCACTGGGGAGTTGTTGTCATAAGGGGAGATGTCACCGCTGGAGGCCTTGTTGGAGTCTGTAGAGGAGTGCCTCCCTCCCACGGAAAAGGAAACTTCCGACTGCAGCATGTCAGGGCTTCTGGCACAACAAGACAATTACAGGTGTGTGAGTGTGTTAACAAGTAGCGACCAGATTCAAACGATATGACCGTTACACAACGGACCGTTACATATCAACGGACAGGAGGAGAATGCATGGACACAGGGGCTGAAACTAAAAAGACCTTTCGAACAATGTTCCGAGACGTCTACATCCATGAAGTGAAAGCGTTGTCACGTAATGGCCAGCAGATGGCAGCAAAACCCAACAGATGAAACAGGAAACGTGAGCCGGGGAAGGAGGGGAGCGCGCCAAGCCCAGATGGGTCCCTGTGATGGCCAGTGTGTGTCGCTGAAGTGCCTCAGGGACTAACTCCTGTGTCCACTTTTAAATTAAAGGCTGTTGCTCACCATTAAGTAAGGAAAAACTAGCAGATAACTCTTTTACCTTCATCAATATCCTGAATTAAAAATAATTCTGATAAAACTAGGGCTGACACTTTGCTTCAAGTTCACTATGGCTTTATGGACAACTTTTCTTCTCACTAAAAATACTTAGTGTAAGTAAATCCATCCCTCCTGCAATAAAGATGATGATGCTACTGGTGGGGATGAGTGTTACATGTATAAAATGGTGGCCGAAAAAGATAAATGTATGACCGTCACTAGAGTCCAAATCTGAAACGATTCTGCAAGGCACTAGTGTTTTTACAAACCGATGTAAGACATGCTAATTAGCATACCATAGCATAATCCTATATGTGTAAGTTGTCACAGCAACAGAAGTAACAGTGAAAATGTAAGTGGAACAGCAAAATGAGAACTTCGGGAACATGAAAGGAGTGTGGGAAGTCTTACCTGGAAACATCTTTATTTTCTACCTTCCTCAAAACAGTGGCCCTGACAACATCTTGAAGGGAAACAATCACAGGTTGATTAAAAGTTCCAGAACCTGCTTCTGTTTTTTCCCCCCTACTTCCCTTCTCTTTACTAGTCTTTGCTCTCTTTCGGTTTAATTTTTCAAAACAAATCCTTTGTGGTCTTAAAGAAGGTAAACACATGCCTGAGCAATGCTTTCCTAACCAAATGGATTTGTGCATGCAAAATGGAGGATCCCACAGGGGATCTAGCTTGTCTCAGGTTTCCAGCAGGGGTTGGTATCCAGGGGAACAACTTCCCAGCATCTGTGATACAGCGCTGTCACCGGGACAGGCAGGGAGCACTTTTGCCAAGGACATTTCCTACCTACATGGAATAAATAAGTCCTTTCCTTGCTTCCTGTTTGAACTGATATCAGATAATCTTAGGGGAAGGAATCAGAGGACCGCCATGAGGATGATTTTCCAGACCTTTAGGCCACTAATAAATTTGAAGGAAAAATAAAAGGAATTTAGTATTTCTGTTGGAAAGCGAGGGAAAGAGCAATTTAACCACCATATCTAATTAAAGGGGAGAAAAGTCTCCCTAATTCTAGCTGAGGGAACACAAAAGAAAACAAATGGACACTTGTCTGTTGTCATGGGGCATAACTCCAGTTGAGGAAAGTCTATTATGAAAACGGAAAAAATGGAATGTTTTAAATTGGTAGCTAACACAGAACTCAGCTCAGCTCAAAATCAGGGTTCCATGTTCTGACCAGGGATAGACACTGTATTACTTGGCTAATTTCATTTGTTTTCCCTGTTCAGTTGACATTTTTTTGGTCGCTAATAAAAATGCCTTATGTCTACTCAGCAGGAGTAAGTCATGGTTTTATATCAATAATAGTGAGTACATAAAGTCTTATTTTATGGGACTTTTCAAGGACAGTCAATTCATTAGCCAAGACAAAAAAAGTCAGGGCTACCAATATTTTATTTTGTGGTTTCTTTTTGCCCTCTCATATTGGGGGGAAAATTTTGAAAAGGTCAAATTTAGCTCACGAAGACTACAATAATTCTGTCTCACGTCTTGCTCATCTGTGTTATAGCACTTATAGAAGAGAATACATTCAACAAAACGGCATAAGTTGCAGATGCGGCCTGGAGTTATGTGTGTAAAGACAGATACCCATGGAAGAAATTTCTCCTAAGTGTTGGAACTAGGGACATTTGGGTTTCTACCGAATGAGTAGGTTATTTTTACCTTATGAAACCATGAGTCATGCAATAAATAATGTATTTCTGTCTCCAATGACTGCTAAAATGTTCGGAAGAATTGAGGCACCACTTGAGTTGGTATATTGAAGCTTGGGGGATGTCTTTGTGTGTTTCCCATCCTAACTTCACCTTATCTTATCACTCTTTCCATCATTTTTCTTCCCCCAACCTCTTAAATTACTTACCATGATATTGCTCCACTTTACATATTTTTTTTTCAAGCTGCTTCAAAAACTTGTTTTTGGACTGATGTATAGACAGGGAAGTCATGCCTACATTAATTGTTGTGGAGGGGGCTGAAAAGGCAGTATGCCCCATGGGAACATTTAGTTTTGTGAAAACAAAGCAAAATAAAACAAGGACAATGATAACAACAAAAAAACTAACTGAAGTTGCCACACTATTTATTCCTCCATTTTCAGAGCTCTGATCGGATCTGATCAAGTAGAGGGGAGAGAGGAGGCAGTGGTAGAGGGCTGTTGTCCCTTTCCTCTCTTCTTTGGGTCGACTCTGCACAATCTCACTGAGTGGCTGTAAGAGTGTGCTCCCCAGGGGGCAACATCTGCATCGCTTGGGGATGTATTGGAAATGTAAACTCTCAAGCTCCATTCTGGACCTACAGACAAGACTGGCTACATCATTTGCAGAGCCCAGTGCAAAATGCACATGCAAGGCCCCATATTAAAAAAATGAATTTCAAGATGGTGACAGCAGATTTATTAAACCAAATGCAAGCTACTTCTGAGTGTGGATCACAGCCCAGGAAGCCAGCTCTGTCTATGGAAAGGGAAATTCGGGGTGGGACCCGCAAACTGTGTTTATAAGAAGCCCTCCAGGTGATTCTGATGCATGGGGATGTTTGAGAACCTCTCATAACCAAATCTTCCTTTACTCTCTCAATCCATAGATGTGACAGTGAGCTAAGAGTCCGCTAAGAGCCAAATTGGGAGGGAAACCAAAGATGGTGGCGAAAACTGTAGCACTGGCTGGCCTGGAGGTGAACATGGTAGTCCTGACCCTGGGTGGCTGGAACCACAGCTTGGCGAAGAAGGGAGATTGTGGCCATCTCAGCTGATTCCTGGACCTCCTCTGTCTGCTGTGAGCAGGATCCAGACAACTGAATGTAGTTTGGTGGTGGATCAGAACATGTTGAGGTAAGAGAGGGGCAGAAATGGCCAATCTGACTTTCTCTGCTCTTCTGATTCAATCTCCTAAGTCAAGTCACCAAAGTGACCACAGTTGGGGCCCTAATCAGGGGAGAAATGGGCGGGGGGTCCTGAAACTAATCCCTGGAGTAGAGGTGGATGAGGTGTCTCACAGTAGACACAGGCCCTGAACCTTCTCGGAGTGACTGGGGTCACAGCCAAGGACACAGACAAGAGGAGGCCATCCCATGAGAGATGATGTCTTCCTTTCGCAGACCCCAGTATATCCTGGCCATGGTACGAGGTACCGTGTGAGTGCCCATGGCAAACAGCTAGAGAAATATGCTTACGTGAAATAACCCCTTGGCCTGTGAGAAGAGTAAAAGTTGATATTTATACACAGTTAATTATGTGGCAGGCATTGTACCAAACTACTGTGAACAACCCTCCTTGTTCCTGACCTTGGTCTGGAAATGAGTGAACAAAACAAAGAGTTGACTAAATAACACGGCTTTCCACCAGTAGAGGCAGTAGGGGCTGGTACCCTTCTAAAATTTATTTGATAAATAGTGTTCAATGTTATTACAAATCAATAGAAAAATGCTATCTTTTATACTTAGAGTTGATGGCCTTTTTAAATGTTTAGAATATTTTCCTATCTATCATTTTATTTTCTCAGCAGAGGTCAGAAGGTGGCAGCCAAATTTGCCTAAGAACTTACGCCCAGGAATTATCTCCCCATGTGAAAGCCCACCAGTTAAAAAACAAAACTGTTTTATTCACTCCTTAGGACTCTCACAACAACATAGGCAGTTCAAAGATTTTAAAAAGTTTAGTGCCATTCTATTGCTTTATCATTGAATTTGTTGGAAGCAAATTCAGGATCAATATATACACACATACACAACCCACATATATACACAACACACACAAACACATGCATACACATATTCACGCACAAATGCACACACATACACACATATAAATACACAGACACATGCACACACATATACATGCACACTTATGCACACATGCAACAATATACATGTATGCATACACACATGCACACACACAGACCCACTTAGGAAATACAATTAGAAGTAAAGAAACAGAAGTGAGGGAGAGAACCGGATTGCTGAATGGAGGCTGGAGTCTGGAGAAATTTCCAGAGGCCTGGAAGTAGAACTATGAGAGCTTTTCAGAGCATTTTTGTCCTCTAGGGGACTGGATGCCCAGTCATTGTGGACACCTTCATTACATACCTATGCTTTTTGTGTCTGTCCATTTTCTACTTCCAGAGCTTTCTATTCTATCCCAAAGTTTCTGAAACATTTTTAATTTTATGGAAATTACTGTTTCCAGTAAAGTCAGTTTGTCAAATGTATAAATAAATCAGGTAAAATCTATAAAGCTTTGTAATAGTCTTTATATAAAAAAAAATCACAAATCAGAAAACAAGTTTTTATAATCCAGAAATTCTGTGAGAGAACAAGGTATGAATAAGTCCAGGTATAGTGTAGTAGAAATGTGGATGGTAAAAGAAGATATACGAAAGGAAATTTCTCTGAACCTGAAACCTAGAGATAAAAATGAGAAAAGAAAGAAAAGCTACCTTTCAGGCTACGACTGTCAGAGAAGTGGTCGTCAGCCAGGATCAGGGTACCCTGAGGGTGGCTAAAACCTGCTATTGTGAGTCAGCTCTGGGAGCTCCTAAGTTACCTTCCTACAGACTAGCTCTGATTAGGAGAACTCTCTCA